TCTGAAGTGAGATTCCTTGTTGGGTGCCATGTTGTTTGAGATGCCTTAATTGGATATTGCAGAAGTGTTTTAGTATCAGGGAAAAACACCCCCAAAGCTATGCTGTGATTTGGATATGAAAGGAGTGGGTCCTCTAAGGATTCATGTATTGAAAGCTAATCCCCATTGTGAAGTATTCAGAGGGTGGAGAATTAATTCATCCATGGTATTTAGAAGTGGGGCCTTGTGAGATGATTAGAATTGGATTAGGTCACCAGGGTAGAACTCCTATTATTGAGTACTGTGGCTTTGTAAGAAGAGGGAGAGAGGCCATAGGACGCACATAGATGCATTCCTTTTTTTTTTTTTTTTTGTGGTGTGATGTCTTGGGCCACCTCAGGACTTTGCCAGTAAGAAGGCCATCATCAGATGTAGGCCCTTGAGCTTCTAGAACTCTGAGCTAAATAAGTGTCTTTTCTTTATAAAGTTAACCAGCTTCAGGTATTTCATTATGGTAATGAGAAATGGACTGATACAAGGGAGAAGCAATTTTTATTCCGTTGAGAACTAGTTTCTATCCTGAAGATGATGACAGGACTAAAATGTAATTGACAGGCCACAGACATATTGCTGGAGCCAGGAGGCCTGGTGCCATGTGGGGAGCTCAAGGTAAATGTTGTCTTTCTGTTTTTTCCTCCCTGGTGAAGATTTAGACGTCTATATACTGTGTCTTTTCTTACTATCACTTTTGGTATCTATTTTAGTATGATATCATTTTTGTAAACATTATTTTAATGACTTTGAAATAATTTATGAAATGACTTTAATGTAATTGACTTAGTCATTCCTCTATTGCCTGCCCTTCCTCTCTGTTTCTCTCTCATACGTAATGCCATGATGTATGATTTCATATATAAATCTTGTGCTGTGATTTAACTTTCTTGGTTAGAGAATCCATGAGTAATTTTGGTTCAGATCTTGCTGTGTGGCATGGTAAAAGGTCATGTATCAGCTGAGTTTAATGTTTTTTCCTGGTATAGAGCAGTGTACAACCTGTGCAGCCATACACAACAGCCCTGTCTTGTCTCTGCCACGTACCATGTGAACTCATGCAAATCCCTATATGGTTCTTTTGCCAATAAAGCAGGGGAAATGATACTTCTTAGGGTCACAGTGAAAATAATTGAGTCTGTCTGTTCCTCTCTAAGTATCTATATATCTATCTGTTCCTTGGAGTGGGCCTGCCATATAGTTATGGTAATGTATGGTGGTGGTGGTTATTATTATTATTATTATTTACTATTGTATCATTATTGTCAATGGTATGACTTTTGTTGCAAACTGCCGAACTGAAGCACATCTTTAAATGATTGAAGGCCTATATAGCCCTGTAGATTTGGGAGCCTGGAAACAATAGTTAATATCATGATTTGGATTCAAGACTCTTCAAGAACTATGGAACAAAGTCTATTGATTATTGGTGCCATTAAAAAAAATTTTTTTTTTTTTAGCAGTGCATGGACACGATATCTTTATTTTGTTTATTTATTTATTTTTTAATGTGGTGCTGAGGATCAAACTCAGTGCCTCACTGTGCAAGACAAGCGCTCTGCCAGGGATCACAACCCCAGCCCTGTTGGTGCCATTTTGAGAAGACGTAGACAGAGTCACATTTTTCAAGAACAGATGAGGCCCAGATATTTTGCATAAAGTCAGATGGTCCTGCCAAGAAGTGAGACACCAGAGGACAAAAATGATTTGGGATTTATGATTGTGAAGAAGGGAAAACCAGTGACGGAGGCAACTACTGTGGAGGAGTTTGGAGAAAGAGAAGCTGTGTCAGATAGCTTTCCATTGCCAGGACAAATCAACTTATTTTGGCTCATGACCTCAGAGGTGTCTGTCCGTGGTCACTTGGCCCATTGCTTTTGGTCTGTGGTGAGGTAAAACATCAAGGTGAGGAGTGCATGATGAGGCAGAGTTGCTCACCTGATGGTGACTGGGGAGCAAAGAGGGTCCAGGAAGGAAAGGCATACATACCTTCAGTGACACCTCTTCCAAGGAGGGACCACCTCTCCAGGGTTCCATCACCTCCCAACAGGGCCACCAGCTGAGGACCCAACCTTCAACACATGAGCCTCTGGGGGAATGTTCCATAGCCAAGCTTAGCCCTCTGGGGGAAGGGGAGATGAGCCAGCTCTCCACGTGCAGGTGGGTGGAACAGAAGTCTGGTTCTTACCAGAGGCAGATGTTTAGGCGCCAGCTGTCACAGCTAGTTCCAAGTCTGGGTGCTTTGTTTACCTTTGCCTTCAGGTAGCATGACAGTCCTGATGAGAGTCACATGTTTCCATCTGTTCTCCCTCTCTGAAAATTTTCCTCTGGAATAATGATCGCCTTGTTAACCAACACCAACAATTTTCAAAGGACTTCTTTCAGAAAGATGCAAAATACAGCAGAATGCTTGACCAAACCCATCTGGTTCCAGAAAGTCTCTTTTCCTCAGATGTGTCTACTTTCATTAAAACAAAGCATGAAGATTCCCTTGCCTAGGGACATAAGCAGAAAAAGCTGTTTCGGGCAATTTCAGAGCCATGTCTATGTAGAATATGCGAAGTGGAGAGTTGAGCCTGTCCCTGTATCAGCTGGATTCAGATACCTTCTGCTCTAGTCACCTTACACGACCACCCCTCTTTTCCAGAGAGGAACAGCTGATCAGACGGTTCAGGGGTCTAGAGTAGTCTTTGGGGGGGTCATATTTAACTCACAGGCAGGGCTACTGTACTTTCTTAGTTTTGGGGAAGCACATGCAGGACAAAGTTATTTTATTCTACAGGCAAAAGGAATCAAGAAGGGGTTGGAGAAGTGAGATGGAGAAGGGGAGTCAGTCAATACAGGATGGATTAACAAACCAGTTACTTATGTGGGCAACTGGGACTTAATCCCATCAGGAAACAGAGTAGAATACAGCTCACTTTTATTCCACCTCAGTGTTTATATAACAACTCCCATTAATCTTCAGTTGAGGATTATTTTGGGGTAATGTTAATTCCCCAGCATCCCGAATGCTGAGACTCAAAGACCTACTGTGAGCTTTGGAGAGAGCCTTTGGGCAAAGAGATGCAGACTCCAGCAGTTGGATATCCACTTGGGATCTGCTCAGTATACCAACATGGCAAGGTCTGAGGATTATGGATGGGGCACCTACAGTGTCATTCATATGCCGTTTAAAGATCAAAAAGGAAACTGGTCTTTCTCTGATCCTTTTTTCCTGTAGCAGATCTTGGTAAATCAATGTGACTAAAGTTGGTAATGCTGAAAAGAAGAATAATTGATCTTATTAAAACAGTAAAAATTATTTTATTAAAACAGGAAAGACACTGTGGAACATATGCCTCCTGTATGTGTTCCTACATCTAGCTTTGGAATGTTTTCTGTGTGTTAAGAAATGTTTTGTTGGTATAAATAGAAAAGAGTAGACAAATGCATTGGTTAGGAAGTAGCCGATGTCTTGGAAACAAGAAATTTCAAGTGAAGGACATGTTTCAGAGGAAGAGACTGCAGAGTGTTGGTATTTTCATGTTAGGTTTTGTTAGCAGAAAATGTCTGAGATTGAGAAGAGTTGGATTGGGGTGGGAAAGTATGCATTGATTTTGCACACTTCAGAATATCTTGGGAATGGTACAGGCCCAATCTTCTTCCTAGTGGTATGGTCATAGCCAAAGTCCACCTGTGGAGTCTGTATTGAAGCCCTGCTGCCCTCCAGCTCCTTCCAGCTCCAACTCAACAACATGAAGGAAATTTGGGGCTGTAGAATCTGTAATCCACCTTCTTGTGGATTTTCTGAGTTGGCTTGGCTTGCTCTTATCATTGGGATTAATGAGGCATAAATAGGAATTATTATCTCTCCTCCTCCCCCATTTTTGTAGAATTTTCCTTCTCCATTCAATGGCTGATGCTACAGGGAGATTCCATTGCTTTTCCAATCAGCATGTGGATTGTAAGATTAAGTTGTCCAATCCAGTCTCACACCCAAACATCAGACTCTCCAATTCAAGGATTCCCCCCTCTTCCAAAGTCAGACTCAACTGGCTTGAGAATAGGCAGAGGAGAAGGGGAGACCATGGTCTTTTCTTTCTGTTTTCCTCTTTCCCAGTTAACACTGCTGATTTTGCTTCTTTAGAGTCAGAGAACATGGGTGGAGGATTTATAGGAAGAGGCAATCTTGTTGTTGTTGTTATTTTTTTTTACCTATACTGACTGAATCTCTCTTGTGGCTGTCAAAACCGTGTTGGGACAGGCATCCAATTTCTCGTTCTTTTGTGTATTCTCACATACCTCCAGAGAGAACCTCTAGGCCTTAGTATTTCTGGGGCAACGGACACACACTCTGTTCCTCATGGGAACTTGGCTTCCTGGATCTACCAAATTTTCAAAGTGTTGTCCATTTATATTCTCAGCTGATGCTCCAGCCAGCCCCTTACATTCACATCTCCCAGGTTCTAGGGTACTCACATACTAATGCTTTCATTCTTAGAAGATTCTCTACATACCCTTGGCCAGGGAGGAAGTTTCTAGTTTGTTCCTTCTATCAAACCAATGCCAATCTCCAAAAGATGAGTTTTGGGGACTTCAGTTGTTTTAAGGTAGGAGAGGGGATAAGAATCTTATCTAATGATTCTCCTTTAAGTGACCTAGGTTATATATTAAGATGGGCTTCATGTGTGCGGCTGCTTAATGGTCCAAACTGCAAAGAGAGGTCAAGTATTGTTATCAGTTGGCATACAACTTAGTTCAGGAGCAACCCCCAAACCTCAGTGGCTTCAAACATAGAAGTTTATTTCTTGGTCATGACTTTGATCAAAGTGAGTTGGAGGATGTGAGGGGAGTGCTGTTCTGTGCATTTGTTCAGTGTCTAGGCTGCTTCTACCAGTGTCTTCCATGTGGAGGATCTTATTTTGTACTGGCTTCCTTTGGTAGCTTGGTGAAATGACATGAATTAGTTCTCACACTCTTGCCTCAAGAAACTTTCCACACTTCTGTTTTTTAATTTTCCCCTTGAAATCCCTCCACTGCCATATGAAAAAAACCCATATATTTCTGCTGGATGATGAGAGACATGTGGTCAGCTGCCTGGGTACCTCAGCCTGTAGCCATCCAAACTCCAGAAGCAGAGAGGCCAACTGACCTGCAGCTGACCTGCAGAAACAAAGGAGAGCTGTGATGAGACCAAAAGTAATACCCAGAAAGCCAAGGGTGAGTTACTGACCTGCTGCAGGATGGTCTAAATAAATGGATGTGGGGGGGGGGTCAGAGAAGTGTGGCTCAGTGATAGAGTGCTCACCTAGCATGCATGAGGCCAGGGGATCAATCCCTAGCACTGCAAAGAAAAAAAAGTTATTATCTTATTATTTTAAACCAGTAAGTTTATGCTACTTTGTTTTGTAGAAATAACTAAATGATGCCCCTTATTTTAGTGGAGTTGGCCAAAATCTAGTTAGAGGATGCCACCTACATCCACAAGGAGATTATAATGTAGGCTAGCAGTGTCCAGGAGAGGAGGGGAAGAACATGGATATTGGGAGAGTCTCTGACATAAGCACTTAACCAATTTTTCTCTGCTTTGGAGTCTCAGCTGAAGGTCCTGCTCAAACACAGAAACACCATGTAAAATCCTGTAATGCCTTGTGATAGAGACTGTGGCTACCTAATGTTCTGGTGATTCTCCTTGCTCACGTAAGCCTCCAGAGGATAAGTTGGGTTAAGTACACTCAGGTACTGCTCATCTTCATTTGAAGAGGAAAAAGAAGAAGAAAGCTAAGTTTAGTTCTGCAGACCTGAGCCATTACTACCAGCTGCAGTTTTGAAGGCCCTCTAGTTTTTTGTGAATAGTTCCTTTGATGAGCAATCTTATCTGGAAGAGAGATCCATGACAAGATTTATGCATTCTTGTATGGCTGTGTTGTGACTGATATTACCACAGCGGCATCAATATCTTTGTTCATTGCTCTTAGGAGTCAGTATCCAATCAAATGTCAAGAGTGTGTGGTAGTATGATTTATGATTCATGAGTCTAAATGGTGTTTCAAGCATCCTAAGAAAATGTGGAGCACGTTGGAGGTAGCATGGTATTCCAGAAAGACCTGATGTCAATTTCTTATTTCCAATTTGCCAATCTTGTGACCTTGGAAAAATTTCTTAAATGCAGGTGCCTATTTCCATTTTGCAAAATGTAGACAATGATGGCAATCATCCATGTTTCTGGTGAGCATTAGATGAAAGGATGACAGTGAACATACTTGGCACTGAAAGGTACCATATAAATGCTACCTGACTTGAAGGTAAAGAGTGAGCCAAGTGGTATTTTAAAATAACCCAACTGCTGGTTCTTTTAAGGTCTGAGGATGACGGATGGGGTAGGAATAGTGTCTGTTGTGCGTGGTTTCAACAGTGGATGCAGCTGGGTGCAGTAGCTACAGAATACTCCCAGCTACTCAAGAGGCTGAAGCAGAAAGCTCTCTTAAGCTCAGGAGCTCCAGGCCAGTCTGGGCAGAGTGTGAGACCATCCGGCCTCACCTCATATTGAAAAAAGAAAAAAAAGTAGATATGGTTTATGATGTAAGTTAATAATAGCACATTATAATAATAAGTCCATGTAAGGCTCTCTATTAGATGAACCTAATAATTTAATTTCTTCTTTATTCCTGTTTCATCTGTTCATCCGTCTCATCTTTTCCCATAGGTATCTCTTCTAATATATCTCATGCATATTCTTAAATTCATTTTATCCTTGAAAATTTTATATTTTTGTGTGTATATAAAGCTTAGGCAAATCGTATGTGATATAAGTGAGTCGCCCTCTCTTTAACCTTTTCACCCAACAATGTTTTAAACGAATGTCCACAGTGCTTAATGGCATATTGTTCATTACTTTTAAGGTTAAATAGCATTGTGTTGTATTTTCTGCCCTTGAATTATCCATTTATCAATTACTGGATAACCAGATTGTCTGCACTATCCAAGAACATGCATTAAGAACATATGCATTAAGAACAACTCTTTACCAAACTGTTGGAAATTTGTTCTAGAGTATATGCCCAGGACGGGGCTGATGGATAACAGGGTATGTGCATACTTGATTGTATTAAGAATGGCCAAATAGCTCTCCACAAGGGAAGCACCAGTTCATGTGACCATCAGTATTGCACGAGAAACCTGTTTCCTGGCACCTTCACTGTCTGTCTAATTTTCATATTATAATGGATGTAAAGTGGTGGTGTCTCAATGTCATTTAAATGTTTATTTCTCTGCAATATCTGGTAATATGGTTTTAATGGGTCATTTTCTTTTCCTCCTTGACCAGAGTTATTTTGAAGAACGCTTTTTTAACAACTTCAAGTGGCTTTATTTTTAGGGTTACTATGTTCTTATTAATGTCTAACTTTATTTCATTTTGATTAGCGATTGAAGCTGCAACTCTGGATTGACTTTGTGGTCTAATATATAATGGATTTGTATGAATGAATCATGAGCACTGGAAATTTATCTTCCATATAGTATGATAATTTTTAAACCAAACTTTATTAATCATTTAGCTTAATGTTAAACCATAGAGGACCACAAAGAAGTTTATGAAGGGGCTCCCCTGACATCTAGGGAATGTGCATATGCTTCTGAGTAAAGAGAGAACTTTCATGAGATTCTCATAGCAGTCCAAAAATCTAAAAAGATTAACAACCTCATGATCTTAATTTTTTTTTTTTTTGTTTTTTTGGTACGAGGGATTTAACTCAGGGGCACTTGACCACTGAATCACATCTCCAGCCCTATTTTATATTTTATTTAGAGACATGGTCTCACTGAGTTGCTTAATGCCTAGCTTTGCTGAGGCTGGCTTTGAACTCCCCATCCTCTTGCCTTAGCCTCCTGAGCTGCTGGGATTGCAGGCATGCGCCACTGTGCCCGGTCTTAATTTTTGTTTTATGTTTATTTGCATCTATTTGATCTGTCAAGTTGCACTTTATGGGGGCTTTTAACAATTTTATCTTGTTTTCTGCTACTTTTTCATTTTATGTATTGGAGCAATGTTGATTGATGAATATTCATGGAAATTTATAATGTAACTGTGAATTATCTTCTTTATCACTATAAAATGATAATTATAAGATCATTAAAAATTCCTTTTAATATATTTGCCTTGAATTCAGCTTTGTCTTATTTTATTACTCCAATTGTAGCTTTTTTGTTTATTTGTATTTGCCTGATATATATTTTTTTCAACTTTAGGCTCCTTGCTTAATTGGATTCTTTTTATATCAATCATGTTTAATATGAATTTTATCCCTTTTATGTTCATTGCAATAAATGATATTTTAGCTCCTACTTCCATCATTTTGTTTTTATTTGGTTGTTGATGTTCATGATTTTTTTGTTGTTGTTGCTGCTGTCTTTTGCTATATGGATTTTGCATTCATTGCTTTTCTTTTCCTCCAGTGGTTTGCATATTTTGATTGCAGTCTATTTTGATACCACATATTTACTCCTTTAAAAGTTTTCCCCAAACATATTCTAATGATAGGGAACACACAGCTTAGAGCAGTAGGAACAGGATTCTAAGGGAACAATTCTATAAACTGGGCCCATTCTGCTGACCCCCACATGCTTTCTTTCTATCTTTCTTTCTTTTTTTTTTTTCTTAAAAAGCAATATACCTGCAGCCTGCCTGGTTTAAATCAACAGGATATGTTACTTTCTCAGCAAACAACCAGTTATCTGAAGAGAAATGGAGGCCCCAAATGTCAATAAAAAGAATACAATTTACTCTGAAGGGGGTACCTTTTGTGACCATTACACAGACCATACCCTGGAACTCAGAGAGATAAGGATAATTCCCCCTAATCATAAAATCCATAAAAACAGTTTCCAATTAGAAGCAGTCAGCATGGGTCAAAATGACCTAGAGACTTGAAAGTCTGATGTCATCTTGCTGTCAATCAAAAGTCAAGAGGTGGACCTGGACAAGACTCTGACAGCTCCTTGGGATTCCCAATAAAACTGGAGGGCAGGAGGGGCACACCATCCTTCTCTCTGGTAGGACCCACTTTCTCTCTTGACAATGTCCCCCTTTCCTTTTTCCTATCCCTTCAATAAATTCATGCCTACTACTTTGAACAACATGTCAGAAAGATCAAGAGGGGGCCTCTGCAGTTGCCTCAGCTTTGCAGTCGACCTCTGCTCTCTAACACGAGCACATATCTCTCTAGTTGATGTCACAGTTGGAGTCTTCTAAGTTCCCTTTATATTTAAGAACAGTAATTTTTACTTTTACTTATTCTCTATTCCTCTTCCATTTATTTTCTTAAACTTACATTTTAATTTAGTGTTTTGAAATTCTATAGCTATTTTAATATTATAGTTGTTCACAGCATGTTGTAATTATTTTTATTATTTTAAATCATATTTATACGAATTTAGCCAAATTGTAGTAACTGCTATCACCAGTCTCTACTAAATTTTGTACTGTGTTGTCTTCTTCTTGGGTCTCCAATTTTTGCTTTATTGTTTCAAGTTCATCTTCTAATAATGTTTTAAGGAGAGTGTATTTTCAAGTGTGTTTTACTCCTGAGATTGTCTTTTTTTTTGCTTTCCAACACGAGCGATAACTAGGGAAATATGAATATGTTCATTAGCAATTGCTATCTAAAAGGCCACATCAAAAGTTAGTGACTTAGAAGCGGCTGATGGTGGAGGGATTAAGGAAATGTTAATGAAAGGACACAAAATTTTAGTTAGGCAGGAAGAATAAGCTCAAGAGATGTATTGTACATCATGGTGACTATAGTTAATTATATACTGTATATTTGAAAATTAATAAAAGATTTTTTGTGTTCTCATCACACAAAAATATGAGGTAATGCAAATGTTATGAATATTTATTTGGTTATTCTACAAAGTATACATATATCAAAACATCATATTATACACCACAAATACATACAATTTTTCCTTGTCAATTAAAAAATTTAAAATTAAACTTAATAATCATCTACTTAATCCTCAATTTTGTAGGTTAACCCTTTGATCTGAGTTTTATTAAGGAGTTCCTCTGGTCAAGGATGTTCTCACTCATGCATTTGTGGTAAGCAGCTAGGTTGGCTGGATACTGGTCTCATCTGAAATGGCTTTGTTTTCTTGAAAGT